AAAACTTCTAAGTTGATCAGTTTTTGCAAGGTTTTGTAATTGACATGTCCCAAACATTTATGTCACAAACAATTTGATTCAAGCAAGTAAGAACAAACAGAAATACTAAGTTTGAAAAGACCTTCTGTGAGGTAATCTTTTCCCACATATATTTTATTCTTTACTTTTTTTTATAACTTTCTCAAATACAGACATTGTTTTAGAGTCAATACCTTGTCATATGTCCTTTTCAGCAGGACCTTTCCATAACATTCAATTTGTTATAGAAGGAGAATGTACTTAATAAAGAGATTCGGAGGCGTAGTAAATGTCAATGGACAAATTACTTCCTACGAGTTTGATTTTGTAACATTTCTTCTTTAAAATGAGTCTCATTTATTCTAAAAGTTATGTCCTTTGTGGACTCATACTCTTTGAGAAAAGTCTGTCAATAGTAAGATAGATTCAATCTTGAGCAACCATACTTGAGAGTTGGTTGATCTTCCTCCAGAAAATAAACTTTTTGGATTCAAAGTGGATCTACAAAAGGAAAAGAAAGTTGATGAAACTATTGACAAATACAAAGACAGAACTTGTTGCCATAGGCTTTAGACAATAAGAAAGCCTTGTTTGACAGATAATAGCACTAACTAGGATTACATCAATTAAGATGTTAATTGCGCTAGTTGCGAAATTTGCCCTTCAAATTCGTCAAAATGGATGTGAAAACATTTTTTTTAAAATGAAAAAATGGAGGAAGAAATTTACATAGGACAACCCAAGGGCTTTGTGGTTCTGGTAAAGAAAAGAAAGTCTGTAAACTTGTTAAGTCACTTTGTGGACTAAAAACAAGCGCCCAAATAATGACATGCGAAGTTTGACCAAACTATGTTGGCAAAGGAATTCAAGATTAATGAATGTAATAAATGTTTTTACATTAAAGACACTCCAAATCACAAGGTCATTATTTGTTTTTATGTTGATGACATTATGATCGTCAAAAGAGACATTTCTAACATAAATGTTACTAAGCAAATGCTAGAAAGTAACTTCGATATGAAAGACTTTTTTTTTTTTTTTTTTTTTTTTGATAAGAAAGACATTGAAGTTACTGATGTGATTGAAAATGTATTTGACAAGTTCAAGCATTTGGATTTCAATATTGTCAAGACTCCAATAAATGTGAGATTTGTACTTCAAAAGAATGAAGGCAAAAGTGACTCACAATTGGATTGTGCTAGAGTATTGAGAAGTATGATATATATCATGAAGTGTACGCGATCAGATATAGCATATGCTATTAATAAACTAAGTCGGTTCACGAGTAATCTCAATCAAACTCATTGGATGACAATGAAAAGAGTTTTGGAGTATTTAAAACATACTTAAAAAACTATTGCTTTGCATTATAACTAATATTCAACATTATTGGAAGAATATAGTGATGCAAATTGAATCACCA